ACATGTTAAAGTTACTAGCAACATAACAAATTTACGCAATGTAGTTCCATTTATATCACTTCTGGCCATTACATCCCTAATTCCTTGATAAAGTTCAAACCTCGTAACAAATCCAACCTTGCACTTTCTATGCTAGCAAAGGCATCAACAAAAATTGGTGAAATAATAATCTACCACCTTTCAACAATGTGTTATGTTCACAAAAACGTTGATGAACATAAATAAGCACAATATTCCCTCAATGTAACATATTCTTTTTTCACTTTCTTTCATTGCCCAATTTATCTATATTCAATATCAATTCTATAACCATCTTCCCTATAAAGAAACAACAAAGGATATTGTATTGACATATATAAAGGATGAAGATTACTAATACATTTAAAACCATCATTTTTGTGTTCGACTATAATATCACGTTTACTAACCAACTTATTAACATGTCCAACTATCGCGAAAGAGAAAAAAAATCAAATGGAAATGTTACGTGGACATCTCCTAATCTCCATTAACATCATTTTTTTAACAAAATTAATTTAATAAAAAGCCATTAAAAAGAAAAGCAAAAACAAAAAATAAAAACACAAAACAAAAAAGAAAAAGGATAAAAGGATAAAAGAGTTCATTAGAGTATTATGTGGACATCATAATTGAGTTTAAAGTACTATTTTTAAATTAAAGTATTAAATAATAGCCTAATTAATTACAAAAGTGAAAAAAGAAAAGAAAAAATCAATAAAATTAAAAAAAATTAAGATCATTAAGGCACCATGATGACATTAAAATCAAATTTAAAATGTTAATATATTAAATTAAGTTATAAAATAATAACTTTATTGATATAATACATGTATAAATATAAAATTAAATAAATAATAAAAAAAAAATTTATATATACTACCAGATGGCTTGAGACAAAGTACCATAAATCTCATTTTGACCCTTCCAAGCTTATTTTTAAAAAAAGAATCAATCTAACTTAACTCAATACTGATTTTTAACAAAAACATCCATATATAATTGAGACAGATAAAAAATAAAAATATAAAAAACAACTCATTTTGTCATACAGATTATTTTGTCATCTTATCGGCTAACTCATTTTGTTGTAAAATTAATTTAATTTTAAAAATATAAAAAAAAAAGAATATGAAAGGAGATAAACAAATGAGATGCTATGTGTGGACAACTTCATTAACATTATTTTCCTATAAAATTTATCTAATAAAAATAAACCAAAAAAATTAAAAAGAGAAAAAAATCCCTCATATTAAATCGAGTTGGATTAAAATTTATCAGATATCAATTATTTTATCATCTTTATTCATCGACTTATTTCATTGCAAAATTTATGTAATTAAAAAAATAAAAAAAGAAAGAAAAAAAAATCAAATTGAGCTACCACATGAACAACTTCATTAGGATTTTTTAACAAACTTATCCAAATTATTAAAAATTAAAACAAAAAATTTTGACAAAAAAATAAAAAATAAAAAAAGATGGATGAATGGATGGATAAATTACATCTTAATTATATATAAATAAAATTTTTTATTAAATTAAGATATTAAATAATAACTTCATTAATATGATAGTATATAAATATAAAATAAAATAAATAATTAAAAATATAGTTGTATATAAAACACTCTTATTAAATTAAGATATTAAATAATAACTTTATTAATATGATAGTATACAAATATAAAATAAAATAAATAATTAAAAATATAGTTGTATATATATTTAGGGTAAGATGAAATACTTTATATCCATATTCGACTTGATTTCAATTTTTAAATAAAAAAAATCTTGATTCGATCCCAAATATTTTTAAAGTAGACACATATTAGAATATAAGATTGAATAGAAAGCTATTAGATATGAGATGTTTTGTCATCTTACATCCATTGCTTTTTTATATATAAATTTATCTAATTTTTAAAAATTTGATTTAAAAAAATAGAATAAATGATTGAAAAAAAAGGAAGACAAATGGAGATAGCACATGAATTTATTAAATTAAAGTACCAAATAATAATTTTATTAATATATATAATACATATATATAATTAAATGAAGAGAATGGATTAACTTACCAAGTGTAAAAGATTATATTTTTACACATTTTTTAATAATTAATTTCAATAAATCAAAGGAATGAGATTAAACCATTTTTTTATATTTTTACTTGTCATTCTCATTTTTTTATATCTTTACCTGTCTTTCTCATCATTTGGATTAATGGATCTATTAAAATCAAAGATTAAAAAAATGTAACACTAAAAAAAGTTTTACATTGTGTAAGTTAATCTCTCATTTTAAATGAATAATAAAATATATATTTATATATACTCGAGTGAGATGAAACATCTTAAACTTGTGTATGACTTTATCTCAATTTTATAAAAAAAAAAATTGATCCAATCTTAAATTAAAAAAAAAACACATCTATTGAATTCAGAAGAATCAAAACCCGTAAGATATGAGTTATTTTGCATACATATGTTCATTGACATTTTTATTCAAAATTTTATTTATCAGTTTCTTTTGGTGCAAGAATTATTTAAGTAAAAAAAAAGTAAAAAAAAATAAAATAGAGCGCTATATATACACATTCATTTTTTTTTCTAAAATAAGCTAATTTAAAACAAATAAAAAAAAGAAGAAAAAAATTTTAAAAGGGATAAAAAAAATAAAAGTTGAGTTGTCATGTGATATTAATAATGATAAATTTTTTTGAAAAATTTATAATATGAATTTTAAAAGATATAAAAAACTAAAAAAATGACTATAAAAAGAGAAAAAGTCCGGATTTGATAGTGACACCTCTATTAATATCTATTTCTTTAAAAATTATCAAATTAAAAAAAAAATAATGAAAAAAATATTTTTAAATAATAATATCAAATGAACCCGTATTTTAAATTTAAAATTTTTTAAAATATTAATTAAATATTTTAAAATTTATAAATAAAAAAATAAAAATGAAAGTGAAAGTGAAAAAAATGAAACAAATGACTTGACATGGTATTCCTTTGATGTCAATCGAGTCTCACAAAAAAATTAAAATCTAAAAAAATATTTATTAAATATAAAAAAAAAAAAAAACATGTGGCTTACATTTGATATTAAATGGGTTGTACATAAAAATATAAAATTTAAAAAAATATTTATTAACTATTTTTAAAAAGGGTAAAAAAACAAAAAAAGTTGGTATAAGTTCCACACCCAAAGCAAAATCTTCAAAAAATATATTTTTATAAATTTAAAAGAAATTATTAAATATTTAAAAAATAAAAAAATGAAACAACGTAAAAAAAAAAAGAAGGCAAAAGCCAAAAAGAGGAGGCTGACGTGTAGCGTGCAATGCAATTTTAGCATTTACATTAGGACTTGGTGAATATCCATGCATTATCGAGGGTTAAATTTTTTTTTATTTGCCATTCCTATTCACCATTTTTTTTTACAAAATTTTCTTAATTAAAAAAAGTAAAAAAGTTGAATGGCAAAAAGAAAAAATTGAAGATAACTTGTGAACACCTAAATTGATCTCTATTTCTCACAAAATATATCTTATAAAAAAAAATCTAAAACAAAAAATAAAAAAGGACAAAAATAACAAAAATAAATAAAAAATAAAAAAGCTCACAAAAACTGTGGACAAACTTATTGAATTTAAAATATTAATTTTTTAAATTAATATATCAAATAATAATTTTATTAATGTAATATATATATAAATATAAAATTAAATTAATAATATATATATTTTTATATATATCATAGGGTGGCTTGGAACAAAGCACTTTAAATATGGTTTTGATCAATTCCATTAATTTATAAAAAATGATTAGAACTTGACAATATGCTATTTTTTTTTATAAAAAACACTCAGCATCAAATAGAGATAGATAAAAATTTATAAAGTATTGATTGTTTTGATTATCTCTATCAATTGATTCATTTTATTATAAAATTGATTTAATTAAAATATACAAAAAAAAATAAAAAATGAAAGAAAACAAAAAAAAAATGAAGGTATTATGTAAACACCTCCATTGATATTTTTTTTATAAAATTTATCTAATAAAAAATAATAAACAAAAAAAATAAAAAGCAAAAAATAAAAAAAATTATTCCCTATTTGATTTAATTAGATTAAAATTCATTGGATATGAATTATTTTATTATCCATATATATTAGTTCTTTTTATTACAATATTTATGTAAATAAACAAATAAAAAATAAAACAAAAAAACTAAATTGGAGTTTTTTTAATAAATTTATCTAAATTGAAAACAAAAAAATGACAAAAAAAGTTCAAAAAAAAAGGATGTCAACATCTTTGATAAAAATCAAATAAAAGTAAAAATAAGTAAAATTTATATATTAGATAGATGAATAAATAGATAAATTAATAGGTTATATCTCAATTTTATACAAATATAATATTTTATTAAATTAAACTATTAAATAATAATTTTATTAATATAATATTTAAATATAAATATAAAATAAAATAAATAATTAAAAAAAATTATATATATACTTGAGATAAGACATAAGATTTTAGGTTGAAAGGCGACTTTCCATGCTCACCACACGTTAAAAAACAAATTAAAAAAGTAAAAGAAGAGAAAATTTTGAAGTCGACACGAGGCTATCCACGCTCACCAGACATGATGAAAAAGTAAAAAAAAAAAAATATACTCGTGATATGTCATTAGTATTAAGTAGATCTTGTATAAAAAAAATAAAATCTAAAAAAAGCTTTGTTACATATTTTTTTAAAAAAATTTTAAAAAGGTAAAAAATAAAAAAAATTGACATAAATGGATTTTACACATAAAAATAAAATATTTTAAAAAATATATTTTTAATTTTAAAAAAGAAAAAAAAAGAAAAAAGAAAGACTGAGGTGACGCGTGGCTTTCAATGTACATGAGCAAAATTAAATTGTTGGATTTATGTATTAGACGGACGAGACGAGAGACTGGTATGTTTGCTTTAGAAACTAAAAATCGGGAGAACTCGTGGAGCTGCTTAGTCCTTGCGCACACAATCTGGAAACTTCCACACTCTTCTAGTCTTTTCCTTTTTCCTTGTTTTGTTAAATTCTTCTGGTCATTTTTATTTGCCTTGTAGACATTTATTTTCCTGCATTCCAGCAACACACCAAATCTTATTTCCTTTGACAAAACACTATTTGCGGCAAAAGAAGAGCATCAGATAAAAAATAAGAGCAAAGTGAAGGAGTAGAAGCAGAAGAATAAAAGAAGATGGGTGTAGATTATTACAAGATTCTGCAAGTTGACAAGAATACAAAAGATGATGATCTGAAGAAGGCTTATAGGAAGCTTGCCATGAAGTGGCACCCTGATAAGAACCCAAATAACAAAAAAGAAGCTGAGGCCAAATTCAAGCAAATCTCTGAAGCCTATGAGGTTAGCCTATCTCTTTTTACTTTTTTTTTCTCTTTTGTTTATTGATTGTTAAAACTCATAACAAAAATTTGGGTTCCTTTGTCTAGAATCAGCACGATCATCAATAATGTTTAATTCTTTTCTTTGGTTCCTGAGACTCTCGTATTGAAATCACATATTTATCATGGGGTCTCCCGAATTCAAATCTTAAGATTGTCCATCTATTCAAAATTTGATCTTTACATATACAAAGTCTAAATTCATACTAAACGGTGACCAACTTTGATGTTTGCAGGTTCTGAGTGATCCACAGAAGAGAGCTATCTATGATCAGTATGGTGAAGAAGGGTTAAAAGGCCAAGTGCCACCTCCGGATGCTGGTGGACCTGGTGGAGCAACATTTTTCCAAACCGGAGATGGTCCAAATGTGTTTAGATTCAACCCCAGAAATGCTAATGACATTTTTGCTGAGTTTTTTGGGTTTTCTAGCCCCTTTGGGGGAATGGGGGGCGCTGGTCCTGGCAGTGGGATGAGAGGTGGTTCAAGGGCATTTGGTGGCATGTTTGGAGATGATATGTTCAGTTCCTTTGGTGAAGGAGTACCAATGAATCAGGCTCCTCGTAAAGCTCCTCCTATTGAAAGGACGTTGCCTTGTAGCCTTGAGGAGTTGTATAAAGGAACCACAAAAAAGATGAAGATTTCAAGAGAAATAGCAGATGCTAGCGGGTATGTATCCTTTTTTAATTTTCCTTCTAATTTGCATATATATATATATATATATCTTGTGCTTGTCTGTTTTGTTGTACTAGTAGCTGATAACTGTTATTTACTAGCTGAAAGCTAATTGATTTGGTTGATATCTTTTAAAAGTAAAATGAAGGTCTCTGTTTAGAACACTCTTTATGTTTGCAGGATTAATGGTACAACTATTCATACATTAATGAAATATTGAAAATGCATTTGCTTCTTTGTGTAAACGAGCGGACAACTTCCCAAGTGATCTGTTTTAGTCTACTTAAGCAGTAAAGGGGAGCTGCAAGAGTTTGTCTTGATCATGTTGTGCATGCTAGAATGAATCGGTTTTGAATCAAATGAATCATACTCATTATTCAGAAACATTCCAATCTGAGGAAAGATCCCAACAGAACTAATTATACCAACTGTTTCGTGGCTGTTTTTTTTTTTTTTTTTTTTTTTTTTTTGTGTTTGCTAACATGGTGACCTAACAAATTTGACTCTGTTGCAGAAAGACATTTACAGTGGAGGAAATCCTGACCATTGATATCAAGCCTGGTTGGAAAAAGAGAACTAAGATTACCTTCCCTGAGAAAGGAAACGAACAACCGAATGTAATCCCTGCAGATCTTGTTTTCATAATTGATGAAAAACCTCACAGCACATTTACACGCGAGGGCAATGACCTGGTTGTCATGCAAAAGATATCGCTCGCTGAAGCATTAACAGGCCACACTGTCCGTCTTACAACATTGGATGGAAGGAGCTTGACTATCCCTATTACCAATGTGATTCATACTAACTATGAGGAGGTTGTCCCGAGGGAAGGTATGCCAATACCAAAAGAGCCGTCGAAGAGAGGTAACCTGAGAATAAAGTTCAATATTAAATTCCCAACGAGGTTAACTGCAGAACAGAAGTCTGGAATCAAGAAGTTATTGGCTCCATAGGTGTGGATTCTGATCATCATTAGGAAAAACATGAGTTGGAACCTGTGAATATCTTCTCCTCTTTCCCTTATGTTCAAAGCTGCGTTATTCGTTATGTAACGCATTTGCCATCCAGAATAAAATGTCTATTAGCACTGCAGAGAAATCCAAGTTGTGATGTAGAACAATTTTGTACCTTATAAACAAGTACCATACTGTTTGCTGTTACTATATATTTTTTTGAGTGATGCAAATCCTTGTTCAAGTCATCCAATTCTCACAAATTCCAAAAGATGGTTTAAACTGGGGAAGGTGATGGTCCATTAATTTCTTAATCTTAGTTGCTAACTTAAACCTAGAAATCATCATTTAATTGTTATGCTTCCTCCGATGTGGACCAGCGGAATCATTTATGGTAGATAAATATAAATCACTTAAAACTTTATTAATAAATTCCTACTATACAACGAAGTGACGAACCATTGATTCCTGAAAAGAATGCTCTCATGTCAGCAACCTTTTGTAATCACTTGCATTTCAAATCTGCATTAATCTCTAGTTTTCTATAATTACTTAGCCCTCACGGTCTAGAGAGAAGGGGCCGAGCTGCTAATTTTGTTCCCCCTGCCCTCATTCACTCGCCTTTGAAGCTGCAAGTTTAAAAACAACGCAGCTCATGCATCACCGAATTTTTTTTTCGAATGCAACAGTTTAATCGCTATAACCTTCAGAAACTGCCGAGTCCGAGCCATCGCCATTTCTAGTTTTCTTCGCTACTTCGTCTGATGCATCACTCATCTCCAAATCTCCATCCGAATCTTCTTCTTCTCCCAGCTGTTCATCGCCATTATCATCTTCATAAGCATCATCATCTTCATCACTAGCTTCCATTGGTTCTCCATTCCACCCACTAGAGGCACCATTAAAATCCAGCTCCCAGTTACCTTGCTCATATCCCTCACCTTGGGCATTATCATCAGACCCCTCTTCCACACTGTTACTATCAGGAGGTTTTACCATTTGCATCATCCTGAATTTTTCAGCCCTCCAATCTTCATCCAAGTCTCTTACAGATACAGCACTGGCCTTGGGTTTAACCACATCAGCCATACGAGCTGCCTGAGTATTATCCGCAGCTCTCCTTTCTGCTCTCTTTCTAACTGTTCGACGGCCACGTCCAGAACTTCGACCATTTGTTCTTTGAACCTGTTGTTTGAGGTGGAGACTTAAATTATTGGTTTCTCTAGCAATTTGCTTGCCAGTATCATATTTAAAACCAGAACCTCTCCTCTGCCATTTTCTACCAGATCCTTGTTCACGACCCCTTCTTCCCCGTTTATAGTTGTTGCGCCTAGTGTTACTCAGGTCAGCAAAGTTCTCTTCTCTCATAGGCTCATCTGGGTCTAGTTCTTTTAATTCAAGCTCTTTATTCTTGATGAAAAGAGAGGCTCTCGACGGAAGCTTCTGCATATTTGACAAAATGGTTAGTTTACATTTTAAAAGTGGCAAAATCCAGTAAGCTGCAATAACATGATATAATGACTGGAGAAAAAAATTGAAAGAAAGTAGCCGATTAGCTAGATTCTAGGCACATTCAAAAAATGCCAAACTCCAGAAAATACCAACAGCATTTAATCATCTAGCGACTAGCCTACTAATAGGTCACATTAAAATATACCCACATGCTATGAATGGTTCAAGGAGCCAGGAGGTGAATAAAAGGCATCAAAATACTCACTATAAATGCTCTAGCTTCCCTGTTCTCAGCAGGTTCAACTTTCTCCTGCTTTACGTACATGATGCACGTATCAAGCTCCAAAAGCCTTAAAGCTACAGCTGCAGTAGTTTGGGGTATCCATGGAAGCACAGAATCAGTAAAATCACTCTCTGACTGAAGACTAGAACCCAATAATTCCCTCGTTGTCTCAAAGTTAGATGATAAATAATCTCTCTTTATGGCACTCTCAAGGTGAGTCAACAACTGCAACACCAACATGACATTTGAGTGAGACCAAGATCAGAACTGTATCTATAAAACATATTTAATCATTTGATAGGAAATGTAATATCGGTGATTACTCAGCAACAAATGTCTCATTGTATTAGGCACATGCAAGATGGCAAAAGCTTCTGCTAGAAGAGAACCTCAGCAATAATACAAATACGTAGAACAAGAAACATGAGCAAAGAACCTGGCAGATTGGTTAGCTAAATGTCATAAACTGTTAAAAGACAAAATGCTCAAGTTAGGATTCAACATTTGTACAATTTTTCAACACCATAATGACATTTTAGTGAGACCAAGATCAGAACTGTATCTATAAAACATATTTAATCATCTGATAGGCAATGTAATATCAGTGATTAGTCAGCAACAAATGTCTCATAGTATTAGGCACAAGCAAAATGGCCACAGCTTCTGCTAGAAGAGAACCTCAGCATAATATAAATACGTTGAACAAGAAACATGAGCAAAGAACCTGGCAGAATGGTTAGCTAAATGTCATAAACTATTAAAAGACTAAATGCTCAAGTTAGGATTCAACTTTTGTACAAATTTTCATTTGAGAATATATCAATTATTTTGATCTATTTGGAATCTTAACTTCTTGGATTTGTCTAAATAAGGAAAAGTTATAACAAAGTTACTGATTACTTAATGAGACTAAGGGCAGTCGTTAGCCCCATTACCAATAACCACTAACTTCTTTGTCAAATTCCCTCTATTAAACAAATCTAAGAGTTAAGATCCCAAAGTGATCAAAATAAAATAAAAGGTTAATCCCTCAAATGAAAATTTATGCAAATGCCCAATCCTAATTTGGGCATTTAGCCCTACTTAAAATAAATGACAACCTTTAGGAGTTCATCTGTGGAAGAAGTAGCATGCAGCTTCCTGCCCCAAATCTTTCGATGGCCTTCTGTCCAAATTGATTCAAGGGCTTCTGGTGGAACAGATACCTGCCAAGGGAAATTTTGAAACAAAAAGATAAGGACATAACTAAGACCAAAAAAATTCCAATTTATATGGGAAATTCATCTGTGAGTTGTTGCTAGCTCACCTCAACTACAGCAAACAAGGACTTTAGCAAACTGATTCCCAAGGGAAGAGAAGAATCAAGAGTATGTGTATCCTTGGTGTCTAACTTCCTGTTTTCTTTGCACTGAATCTCATGTTCTGAGAAATTAAAACTATTGTTAATGGAGCCAAATGTCTGGTGGCAGTACCCACAGTGCATCTCCTCTGGGATATGAGAGCCAAGGCACATATCACAAACAACCAACAGCTGCACACATCTCTTCTTCCCATATTTCAAGGCACACAAAGTTGAGGAATTATAACATTCTTTCCACATCCACCTCTGGAAATCTTGGTATCTTTTCAAGGCTGACTTTTTCCCATTTTCGCTTATCCCAAGCTGAATTTTGAAAGAAGGTAATATCTCTAATGCATCAGAGTTCAATCTACAACTTGCATTACAAGGACTGTCAAAACTGGCAGGAAAGTCAGTGCTAGAATCTATTTCAGAAGCTTCATTTTCAGTGGAGCTTCCACTTCCTCTGGCACACTGCAAGTTCCTGCGAACATTTTCTTTGAAGGAAGATTCAATCTTTTGCAACATTATCCGTAAATGGGATTCCCTGATGCCTCGTGCATCCAAAGATGCCAAAAGAGCATCGAAGGCCTACAGAGAAATTGATTGAAAACATAAGAAAAATATAACCAGATGTATGATACAAAAGTTAATCATGTTTGTTCCACTATTTCTAGTAATTCATCCCAATACATTACAAAGTTCTCTTTCTAAGTAGTATAACATACCTCTTCAGAATCAATCAGCCTCCAATTTCCATCACGTAATTCAACAAATATCCAGCCAGAACAAGGATCATTTTTAGAAGCAGAAGCAACAAACTGCCAGTATCTATTGCGTCTACGATCTTGGCCAAGAGGTAAGGACCTGTATACATACATCTCTTCCGCTCTGTGGGCAATGTATGATTTTAACTGTGAGCGTGATCTTTTGGAAGCATATCCATGCTGCTGACCAGAGAAGTTATCTGGACCCATGGAGGCCTCTTGAAGTACCAAGGCCCTTTCAGCAGGATAACTATTGACGTCATTCTGAACAGTTTGTGAGCATAGAAAGGGTTTTTGGTCTTCTGGAATGCTTGGAGATGCCTCATCATTTTTATTATCGGCAGCAGGAAATGGGCTTTGGCTGCCCTCCACGGCAGAATTAGGCAGTTGAGCTTCAGCCTTGATTCCCATCACAGATGGAAAATCCATTTTAATAATGGTTTCTTCCTTCAGACGACTTTTATCCAGCTGAGCCTCAGCCCACATCTGCTTTTTAAGAGCATTTGCTGCTTCCAAACGATCCTGTGAATTCATAAATCAATAAGAAAGAGGAAAAATGATAGGTGCCTTTACAATCAAAGCAACAGCACAATCAGACAAAACTGTAGTTAAAGATTACCTCCAGCACAGCGCGGATAGAGTTCCCTTCATTTGCAATACCAATTAAGGCAACAAGGGCATTTAGGCGCTCCTCAACGCTAAGATAAGAATATTCACCTTCTGAAAGACCCTGAATCCATGACTCACCAGACTTACTTTCATCGATTTCAATATTCTGTTGATCAGGACTGCCTGCTCCATTCTCCTCACCAGCAACATATAATCCAGTGTTACTTGGACCATTGGCATCCTTCACAGTATTTGAAGGGAAAGATGGAAAATCCTTATCAAATTCACCCAGAACATTTAGTGCATCATCAGTTGAGGCATTGACTTTTTCACTTCCTGAACAAATGTTTACTTCAACCTTAGGATAGTCAGCATCTTTGTTTGCAATTGAGGGAGTAGCAATATCATCAACTTCAGGATCCTCATCAACATCACATTCAGAGTCTTCATCTCTTTCAACCTCATCTCTTTCCACCTCATCTCTTTCAACCTCATCAGCATCTTCTCCACCTAAAAACCCATTTTCAAATTGACGAATCTTTTTCCTTGCTACTGCAAGTATGGCCTCAGCATCAGTAGGATCTTTCCTATAGGCAGGTCGTACGCAATAAGTTGAAGGAGCTATTCTTTCAAAAAGCTTTGCATCCCTTGTCAAAGCAACTGAAATAGAAGCCTCTGGTGTCTTACTAGTTGTGAGATCCCGAAGTCCAGATTTCTTGTAGGAAACAGATAAATTAGGAAAAGGCATGTAAAAGATACAAACCAATTTGACACCTAATAGGAACACAATCCAAACTCACCTGAATCTTATCTGCAAGTTCTAACACTGTTAATCCTTTGCTTCCCTCAAGTGAAAGAACATGAAAAGCTGCAAATTTGACAGTTCCAGGTGTCAAACGATGCCTCGATCTTCTTGGAAGTAACAGGCCTTTTTCTCGCATCACTGCAAATGCATTCACAGCTGCTGAACCATTGCGTAGAGTAGAAACTACGTCTTCACAACCTTTACCCTGCAGGTACAGATACAATAATATACTCAGACAATAAGACAATATTAATCAGCCTTTTAACATCTGATGGTACAAATCACTAAAGCAAATAACTATTTAAAGATGATAACACAAAACCTCAAATTTGTCCAACTTAAACATTTGACAATGCGCTAGCATAATCAAGTTTAAAGCAATAAGCAGGGAACTATAATCTATTATGATAAGGCAATCTATTAGTGTCTCAACATATTGGTGTGCATTAAGATATATCTGACACAAAGCAGTAGAAGATACCATTGGTCTGCAAAAAAGCAATTCAAATTCATCTAAAAGAATGATTGCTACAAATATAACACAGGCCATCTGAGAGGCTTTCATATCGTATCACTTATTAGTACTCATTTATCTTCACAATCCTAATTATCAGAAGTGATATTTGTCAGGAATCATCAACACTTATTCTAAAGAGGGGAGTTTCAACAAACATATCCACACACTCGTACGCGCACACTAAATATTGTTATGGTAGAAAGAAGTTGATTAAACCTCATCATTATCACCCATGTACGTCCATCCAGCAGTTTGTTTCTTCAACTGTGGTCCAAAGCCTGCAGATATTGCTAATTGCCGGAAAATTTCAGGCCATGTCAATGGATTTAAGTGATACTGCCAATTGCGGATGTCAAAACCCCAAGAATATGCCTAGCAAACACCAAATGCAAAAGGGTTCATCAACAATAAAATAAGCACCGTGACAAACCTATAACAGCACTTACCCCTTCAACAATCTGAGGGTGTCCACCCTCAGGGTTGGCAGCACAGTACTGATTCATCCCTAATCCAGTCGCTGGTGTTCTAGCAACATCTTCAATGTCTTTTATTATTGATTTCAAAAGAGCAACATGAATCTCGCCCAGCAACCTTGAATCCTGATAGCAAAATGGTAACAATATCACAAATAGGAAGCAAAATCAAAAAAGGATATTAGAAAACAAAATATTCCATTAGAAACTCACATAGTCATGAAAACCTTGCACAAACTCATCAAGAGTGAATGGCCATAGTCTGAGAACATCAGCAAAAGTAATCAAAAATCTCCATGCCTGATAAAGGAAACTGTGTCATTAGACCTTTTACCTTTAGAACTTAAAGGTGCTATATGTATAATTCTACCTTAAATCACTAAGTAAACAAACTGCAAAGATATAAAAGCATAAGAAAGATCATTAGACTTGTTGACTCAAAGCAATAAATATGTCATACCATGAGAAGATTCCCAACATTCTCCTCTGACTCGATCCATGGTTGAATGGTAAATGGTCTTTTCAATTGCACAGACTTGGGGGGAAACAGGCTTAAAGAATCTAAAACAGAAATGCTAGTGTTATTATCAGCACAAAGGTTCTAAAGAGTCAAAATAGATGGCAAAAGAACAAGACCCACCAAACAATGAAAAATTAAATGGTTATTGAAAAATAAGTACAAACAGTGAGAGAATATAAAACAATCTTTCTGCAAATCCAAGTGAAAGAAATAGGATTAGTACACCTAGCATCATATCTTCCTAACCATGAATTAATTCTAATCATTCATTAAAGAGACCATAAAATTATTCCAACCAACCACATTGAAAACATTCATTATGTTAGTGGCATTCAGTACTTTCATCCAAATGGTTGAATTTTGAAGGGAAAGGGGTTCTGAAAAATATTATTTTCAACTGTGAAGCAAGTAACTTAACACACTCAATAACCAGTGAGTCAGTTTCAGTTAGAGCCTATTATTTTCAAAAAAAAAATTGCGTCAGAAATCAGTTTCAGTTAAAGCATACTATTTTTTTTAAAAAAATTGTGTCAGAATTTTAGGGTTTTTTCTCTTATTCAAAATGCTTAGCAATCAAAGTATAAATTCAGTAAAGGCAATAAGACAAATACAAATTTCAGATGACATTTACCTCTAAATAACTCAAGATTTTGCAAACTATCGTGATCAAGATGAATAATTGAGGGTATTCCCTTGCTAGCAGCAGCCAACTCCATGAGTTCTAGCTGTTCATCTTCGAGAAGATCCATGGACTCTTTAGCAATTTTTCGTGCAGTTGCCTTCTCCCTAGCAACTCTACGTCTCTCTTCCTCTTTCTCTCTGCGAAGCTCTTCCTTTTGTCTCTTTTTCTCAGCCTATAAGGTAAACCTCAAATTAAAACCAATGACTAGAAGGAGAGAGAGATCTCATCATTTATGATTAGGTAACAACATTATCCATAACGTAACTCAGATTAATGGGTTCTCAAACTTACTCTTAAATATTCTTTCTGCAAAAACTTTTGCCTTCTTTCCATTTCACGTCTTTGCTCACGCTGCGATCTCTCTTCTTCCCGCTGCTTCTCACGCATCAACCTCTCTTCTTCCTTCCTTCTTTCACGTTCATGTCTTTCCATTTCTTTCCTCATTCTTTCTTCACTCTGAGAAAAACATTTTTCATAATATGAATGAATAAAGAGGATTCCCCAAGAAGCCAATTTCATGATCGATGAAAAATTAATAATCAGAAAACCTTTCGCCTTTTATTATCTAGTTTCTCAATCTCTTTTCGAATCCTGTTCTCATGTGCTTCAACTTCCCTTGCAATTCTACTTTCATCACTCTACAAGAAAGATGATATACAATTAGAAATAATGAAAGGAAATAGAGAATATATGAAACATACTCTAACAAGCTAGGCACCTTGCGCTTCCTATCATTTCGTAGATCAGCATCATTATTAAAGGTTTGCCCAGCAGACAACATATATGGATCTTCAGATCCCAAAACTGAATGGGAAATAGACTGAGCATTAATTCTGCCATTTGTAAATGACTCCCTTTCTGCAAGAGAATCATCAGCCACTTGAGATGACAAAGGAATAATTCCTGTCTTGTCTTGTTGAGGTAACACACGAACCCGAGAACCATGACCTTGGATACCATGAACCCTGGACAATGGTTCCTCTCCATGCACAAATGATGTAGCTCTACCCCTTGCACCATCGGCTGGGGATTCATGAAAATGAGACTGAGTAACTTGTCCATATGCATCAGATCTAAGACTCGAATGCTCTGGAAGAAACTGATACTCATGAAAAGTCCTTGCAGCAGCCTGGGATTATAGTTCATATGATAATAATAAGTCAACCCATATAAACTATGTAATATAATTTTCATTCCCATCAAAACAACAAGAACAAATAAGCATTTTAAATTTAAATAAAATATAACTGGTGACTCAAAAAAGAAAAGAAGATAGAAGATAATAATCCCAGCAGCATATAAATTTAAACATCCTAGACTGCTAAACCAACTACATAACAGCTGCCGCAACAAAGAGGCCACATACTAGAACCAGTTAGCCTGTCCCAAAGAAACATGCATAATGAAGGGAAAAGTAGCATTCTAGAAACGAAAGTGTTCGGCAATATATATGGTCTCTAAATTTAAAGTCACATAATTGTAAAAACCAAATGGAACCTACCACAGAAATTGTCACAACTACATTACAAGATCACCGTTTCTTCAACCACACAAAGCATTTTAATTTCTAAATATACTGGCAGTTAAAATAAATGTAAATTTGAGAAACCAACTTTGCTTGACCGGCCATCATGTCGCTCATATAGTTTGCTCTCATAAGGATGTCCAGACTTCTTATCTGGCTCGGGAATTGCTGTTCACGAAAGAAAAAAAATTAAATAAAATCCATGCATTTCCACTTACAACGCCTACTATAAACTACACTAAACAATATGTAAATTTATAAATCCATGAATGATACAGCACAAATATAGTTCACATTTTGCAAAAATATAAATTCTATAAACCAACACAGCCACCTAACTTTCAAATAACACAAAATCAGGTCACTTATACCTCCGAATGCATCGGGAGGTAATGAATCAAACTCCATTCCCAGTATAGGCCCATCATCCCTCAATGGCTCCCCCAACTGTGCCTCCACGCAAGCAATTGCTCTGAGCTCCATTATCGACTGCTGCGACTCATAATACCTCATCACCATCGGCACATCCTCCATCATGCCCCGAGATGGGCTTCCCCCTAACTTCCTTGAGTCCATATACGGACTGGATCCCGAACCAGACCCAGACCCGTAGTCCGGCTCCGGCACGGCTCGTAACTCATCGATTGGAGATTCCGGCGGTAACGCGGCGCCTTTGCGAGGGGTTTTTGAAGGAGTTTCCTTCTTTTCTTTCAATCTCCGATGACAAAACCACATCTGCAACTGCCGATCTGTTAATCCTAATTTCTCCGACAACCCCGCTCGTGTCGCTTCCGATGGATACGTCTCCACTAAGAAAAAAAAAATAAAAAATACCAGAAATTCCGAAAAAGTAAATGAAATTAAAAAATTTTCAACGAGTTAAGAAAGAGATGAACAAACATACAAGCATAGGCTTTCTCGAGAGCTTCGAGTTGGTACGGAGTCTTCATCTGTCGTTTAGGCTTAATGTTACCTTCATTGGAATTGTTATTGTTTTTATTTGGAATTTTGATCTGATTAGTTTCTCCTTCCGAACCAGGCTCCATTGAAGGAGATCCAAAATCAAAGAGGAAACCTTAGGGTTTCAAAAAAAAAAAAACCCAAAAGAGCTTCTCTTTCTCTCTCTTTTTCTCTTTCTTTTCTCTCTCTCTCTAAAAACACGAAATATCGTGAAAGTCAAGAAAGGGAAAGATGAGAATTATTATCGAAGAAGAACAATGAATTAGAAGAAAGAAGAAAAAAAAATTCAAAAGGGATCGAAAAGAAAGAATAATAAAAATAAAAAGAAAACAAAAGGAAAATAGGGAAAAGAAAAAGTGTAATTAGGAGCAGAATAATAAAAACAACAACAATAGTGATTTTTCTTGAGTCCAGTTACAAATTCCATTTTTTTTTTGGTACTGACCAATTAATCTTTTTCTTCTTTTGTTTTTATTGAATTTGATGTGTTGTTCGTGTCAAAACAATGTGTTAATATTGTGGAGGGCTTTTAAAAGGAAAAAAAAAATTAAAAAGAAAGAAACTTTTTTAACAAGATGTTTTTCTTTTCTTTATTCACTGTTCCCTGAGTTATTTTGATGCAAGTGGTAGCTTTAGGTTATTGAGTTTTGTGTTGATGGTCTGAGCCTGTGGAGGGGATCTCTTCGGTTAGGCAATCGAGTTGTATGTAGCCGAGTATTCTGGTTTATGTTGTTGTTGTGGGGCCCTATTTTCCCCCCTTCTTTATTGGGCTAGACGGATAGACCAGGTTTTAAAATTTGGGCTACCTATCTAGTATTTTATGAGCCCAACTCGTCTATAAATCTCACACATTTGAAGAATAGCCTTCCAAATCGACAGCACGCCAGGAGAGAAAAGAGTACTTTGGCACATGAAAAGAAAACCTGAAGAGTCTATGCCAACGCACCTTCTGCTGCAGTGGCCTTTGAATTACAATAGTACAGGCAATCTTAAAGTATTTTTAAATTTCCGTGAAAAGAAAAATTATGATCAATTTTCCATTTAGTAGCAAGTATATTCAACCATATGCATACGTTCAAGTGCACGAAATCCATTAAGTTATAGGACGTTTTGGCAAAAAAAATAAAGTTATAAGAAGTGATCATAAATTATTTTGATTTTTGTCACAATTACAAATGATATGGCAGCATGAAAATAAAAGAAGAGATTATAAGTTTTAAGGTTCACAATTGTTAAATTTTATAGTGTGACATGCTCCAAATTAATACTTATCATATATCTCATGCCTAAAACCCTTCAATATCTAATGTATGCCATGACCAATATATATGATTCCAGTAATGACAATAAAATTGTTAATAGATGGGCATATGTTCTAAATCATGTAATATTCTTCGTTTTTTTTTTTTTTTTTATGCAAATCCCTCCAATATTGTATGATTATAATACTGTCTTCTTTCTCATTAATTCCTTGCCAGTAAGATACGCAAATTCTAAAAACAAAGTATATATGTGCATGGGGGAATTATATAAGACTATTCACAATCTTTTATTTTTTGGCACCTATTCTGCTCAAATCTCTTTTCAAAGCTTCTACCGATATAAAGCTTAATTTGAGAGACAGAATACGTGAGAGTACATTATTTTCAGTCAACAAAGGCTAAATCGAAAATCAGCAATGGTTTGTGCTCTGAATTAAAGAAATTTTGATCGAACAGAAGAAAAAACTTAATAATAACAGCAGGATATTAATTCAATGTCAACTTTTATCTCCATAAGGAAAGACATATTATGACTTTACACCCGTGACTTCCTCCATTTCCATGCCTTTTTTCTTCTCATGCTGCTTTCATTTGCTGCAAAAAGAAACCCCATTTGGCATTATTTTAAATTATAATTAATCCCTTTTTCACTTCTTGAAAGATTACAGGAAAATTATTACAATAATTGCAGCTATAATATGCCTATCTCTTGTTCGCAAGACAGACTGTCCCATTTTAACCAGTTTCAAAATGCCCTCATTCAAAAATAATATGCGGTGATTAGAAATTTGTAGAACTGCTTCAGTGGCATTAATAATTAAATGACCAATTATAAGAACAACCAATTAATTTTTTGTTATAATGTGTGTATTTGTCCTAATATTGTTGTTTTACTCACTTGTTTCTCTTCTTCCATCTTGGCCTTGATGAATGAGTAGGCTGCCACTCCAGCAATTGCTATGACTGTTCCTATACCTGTCTGTGTTGAAATCTTGTTCCCTGTAAGAAGTGTAGATTGTTAGATATTCAGTACTCCAAAGAGTTGTATAATAAAATGAAGAAGAAAAAAAAAATCATGGACTGCAAAATTCTAAACTTACCAAAGACCAGGATTGTGAAGCCAATGACAAACACACGCTTCAGCACATTCCCGACTGCATGAGTAAGTGGTGCCACCCGCTCCAAAGTGTTGGTAGCCAACTGAATGCCACAAAAAAAAAAAAAGGTTTATCAGGTTCAATATATATAATGGTGAGAGTAGGCACCATGCTTACCTGCTTGGACAAAGCATAAGTCAACTGTTGGTCAAGCCCCATTAGTCAATCTTTCAAGTAGGATCAAACTTAAAACACTAAAAATGGAGAAAATAATGTACCTGATTATAGAGATGGTAAAACATTCCCACCCAAAAGAGATCCGAGATGAATTTAGTGATACCCACGTTAGCAATAGCATCATTGAACCCATGCTTGATTAGTTGAGGACCCTCTAACTACAACAGGCAGGTGGGAAAACATGGAAGGTTTAAAGGACTTTGTGCTTAATGTTTTAGTTGTTTAAAATCTAAAAACATTTTTACTTACAATGATGGCTGGGGGAATACAGACGAAGAGAGCAATGATGGAAATATAAGCATAGACATTTGTACTGTCCATATCGGTCTGCATATGATAAAACGACAATTACTATAAAATGTTTATTAGGAAATATGGTTTCAAATAAACATTCTGAGCTCTGCACAAACTGATAAGAAAAAGAAAAGGGATGTGAGGAAGAGATGGAAGAGCTCTGTTTCATTATTTTGAAAAGAAAGGTCGAGACTCAAGAGTTTCAAAGACAGTCACCATTGCTTTCTTGGAATAGATACTCCTGTAAGTGAAGGAGACGTTGGAAATCATTGCGCTAATGAAACCCGTCCAATTGAACGACAACTCAGTCATTGATGCCATGGATACACCTGCATTTTGTTTGCAATTAAAGGAAACGCAAACATGGTGGCTGGCAGGTTAACAATTCAAGTGCACTATGACAATATAACAACATAGTTGAGAGTTTGTAGTTTATCTACACAATTAGAGCTAAGGCACATTAAGGGAGAATATATTTTACACCTGAACTGATTTGAGTGAGGTGATCAAACAGAGAGAACAGAGAAATTACCAATAACAACAGGAGCAAGAGACAGCCATAGAGTAAGTGGTATGGATTGCCCAAGTACGAACTGAGAAGCAGCAGCATTGAAGAAAGGCTCAAGAGCTGAAAAACAAATAATTAAGTTATGACTCATGAGTCAGATCAGTAGTAGTGAACTGACCCTGGTGACAGAATATCGAATGTATATGTAAATAACATCCCTATATATATATATATATATATATATATATATATATATATATATATATGCACAAGAGAATAGATTCATGTAATGCCATCACCTTTGATTGTGTGGGTGAAAGAGACAGCAACAGCTGCAAAGGAGACATTGCTAGTTACATGGCCAAGTGCATGGCATACAGCAACGGGGATCAACAACTTCAGTAGGTTAGAGTCAATAGGCTACATATAAAAATACAACAATTACATATCAGTGCACAATATCTGCAAAATTCTCCTGGTTTTTTTCAAGAGGAAGCAGGCTACAATCTTAGGGCACCATGCTATGCAAATTCCTAGTAAGATACTGAGTATCATTTTCTACTGAAAGAAAATTACTACAGCATTTTGAATTTATAACCTTAATATGACATCAATTAGTGAACGTGATTGTATCAAAGTAAATCTCTTTCTTAGCCATCCGTATACAAGCATAACCAATGAAAAGAATCACCCCACTTTCCAGCATAACCACGGGCTTCTTACGCAATAAGCACTTTAATAAGTTTCATGCTACGGCAATAAAGTTGGCACATGCAGTGCTTAGTCACACAAATTCGAATGTAAAAAAAATCAAATGCTTTAAAATGAAAAACTATAAAAAGAAGACGACAATTACGAAAAAAACATAATTTAAGATTTATATATAAAAAAATGTAAAATTGAGATGGTGGGATTAGAAGGTTCACTTACAGCCCGCTTAGGGAGGCCCACGGCCCAGCTGATCAAACAGTAAACCACCCCAACGAACAAGTGAATAACCGACACAAAACTGCGCCAAAATGCCACGAAAATAACCTTAAAAACAAAACTAACCATTCATGAAACCATATCACGAGAAAACCTTTAAAAATATATATATAAAAAATCAATTACTCACTAAGGATAAGGGAAGTAATTGTAAATCTTCTTGTTGAGAATGTTAAATATCACATTCAAGAAGTACCTGTAAAAAAAAAAGAAAAGAAAAGGACGATCATGTAAATTCACAAAACTGAAGTAAACCGAATCTTAACCACAGTTGACCGGCCCGTCGAAGTGTCGAACATTTGACGGTTAAACTTGTTGACCGGTTTTGTACTTACCACATGAAGAAGAAAAAGCCAGTAACAATAGCAGGATACTTCTTGAAGAATCCAACCGGAGCGATCTTTGCGTCCCTGCAATAAAACCGAGTCAGTCAGTCAGAGACTGAAGTGTGGATGAGTTGTCCGAGTCAGAACGGAGGAAACGGACCTCACCCGGCGGAATCGCTTCCTCCCTCGGCTGGCGACGATGAAGCGGCTAAAACCGGCTTCAAAATGTCCCGCTTACTAACCGGCGAGCTCTCGAGCACCAGGGCCTGCCTTAGCTGCCTCCCCCATATCACGTTCCCCCCTTCTCCGACGGCTCCGATCGGCTTAGCTGAAGCAAACGACATGTTGACGCTATCTCGCGAAAGCCTTGGCCTGAGCTGAGGTAAGCCAGTGATGGTGGAAGCGCGTGACAACAATCGCGACTCCATTGCTCCTGAGAAATCGAGAAAGAGAGAACGAAATTTGTGTATAGTAGCTAGAGTGAGCTCTTAATGGAGGGAGGGAATGAACAGATTTTTCTTTTCTCTTTTTTTTTTTTTTGGCTTTTTTAAATTATTAATAATTTCTATTTTAGTGGTTCTCGATTCTCAAACAATTACGTCGTTTTAATCCCCTGCAACAAGACGCATGATAATATACTGCGTCCTCTGACTTGATGACGTAGGATAAAGATCAGAAACTGGGAGATAGCTGATTAATGGTGCAGAATAAAAAGAGGGGATATGGTTGGGTGTAATAGAGTGGAGGGATTAATTGTGGCTGAGAATTAAGGGGGGGGAGGATATTGGGGGAGAGAGCCGAGAGGTGGGGCCAGATCTTATCGCCAGTGAAAGGCTCGTGAAGGAAGTGAAATCTTGTCCAATCGTGAGTGGCCTCTGCTCTTTGTTTTCCAAAATCCTTATCGTCTCCGATCTCCCATTTTCTTGTGTGGTGAAAACCGAAAACTTTTGTCACGAGGTAGAAAATTTCACAATGATCTTTTTTATTATAATTAAAATTAAGTTTTGATCATTAAAATTGAAATTCTAACATTTTAACGATTTCGTTTAGAGAATATTTGGCACAAAATAATTCATTTAAAAATTATAATAATTTAAAAAATTATGCGACAATGATTATTCGTTAGAATGATAAAATTACTATTTTAGAAAATAAATTAGTTTCAAACTTAATTACAAAAAAATTTTATCATAAAAAAAAGTAAATTTCAATATTATTTTTTTATTAGTTTATTCTTATGAAAAATATAATTAATATTATCCCAAGAAGTTAATCACTAAAAATTTTTAAAAATCAGTTTTTTAATCATTTATTTTCAAAATATTTTATGATATAAATTTATATCAACTAAAAAAATTATAAATTTATTTAATAATTTTTTAATTTTTTTTATCAAAATTGATTATATTTTACAGTTTTTATAAAATAATATTTAATTATTTTATAAATTATTAATTTAATAAATATTAAATATTTTACTTTTTTATAAGATTATTTTAGATATATTATACTCTATGATTTATTTTTTCATATAATATCAAATATATTGATTTAAAAATACAAATCATTTATAATAACATATCAAATATAATAATCTAAAATTATTAACAATTAAATCACTTGATAATTTTATTACTATAATAATTAAATTATTATAATAATCTTAAAAATAATATCAAATACTATAATAAAATAATACATAAAATGGGATTGATGTAGGTGTCTTTCCTTTGAATTGGGGTTACAGTTTGTGACTACATTTAAGTTTGTCCAATAAACAGGACACCTCTTTCAACTCATCGTCGTGTTTTTTTTTTTTTGGGTGTTCTCCTCTTCCGAAATATCCTAAATATTGTCTTTCATTGTTGGAGAGGAACATTAATTTTATTATTATAAGCCGAATTTCAGACTTAAAAAAAAAATTAATAAATGGTAACAACTAACAAGCAGACTTGGCATCCTGGGTTGGCTATGCGGATATGCAGTAGGCCCAACAAAGACACAATGAGCTAGCGGGCTTTTTCTTTTTCAGCTTCCAAAATACTGGCCGGTTGGGCTTCTTATTACAAATCCTTTGGGAACCCTTTATGGGCCACAATAATGGGCCACATCGGCATGGCATCAGCCTGGTTTATGTGGGAGTGCCGTAAAACATTTGCTCATTACCGATGACGAACCGCACTAGCAGTTCGATTTTCCAAACCTTTTCGAATCACTCGCTTCATTTCACGACAGCGAATTGTAAGCTACTTCTTTCTCTTAAATATGCTTTTGACGACTGTTCTATTTTTTTCCTATTATATTTGTTAGTAATCTGGTTTCTCATGAGTTTAATATCTTTGCCAATCAATCTTCTAGTTTCCACCCACCAAATGTTCGATAAAATGCTCACGCTAGCAATCCAATGTATAAACAGTTCTTTATTGCATATAGCATATGTATCGTTTGGTCCTCTTTTCTGGGGTTTTCAATAAATTTTAGAGACACATTTGATTATATTGGGATGCTATATTTAAGGACAAAATTTGCTGTTATATATTCCTTATTTAGTTTAAATTCAAATAAATATATACTATCCTTGTAGATGTTTGTGTAACTTCTGAATCTGAATCTCGTGTAGGTGCGTGTATGAGTTGCAAATTAGCATCGAAATATGTCCTGTGATATTGGCATTATTCGAGTTTGGGGCGGTGTACTGTTAACATAGAGAGTTAGCTAGAATGGGTACCAAGGTTGTGTTTAAATGGTCGAAAAAAATCACTACTTCTCAAGTGGTGCACTTAATAAAAGCAGAGAGGAATATAGACAAGGCTCTTGCTATATTCGATTCGGCAACAGCTGAATACGCCAATGGTTTTCGTCATGATCACAGCACTTTTGGTATTATGATCTCTAAACTAGTGTCAGCGAACAAATTTCGACCGGCAGAAGATCTCCTTGATAGAATGAAGGTAGAAAAGTGTGATTTAAGGGAAGATATATTCCTTTCTATTTGTAGAGGCTATGGAAGGGTTCATAGACCATTTGATGCCATCAGGGTCTTTGATAAGATGAGGGAATTCAAATGTGAACCAAGTAAAAAATCTTATATTACTGTGTTTGATATTCTGGTTGAAGAGAACCAGTTAAAGATCGCTTTGAGGTTTTACAGGCACATGAAAGAAGTAGGTGTTCCAACTAGTGTTGCCTCTCTCAATATTTTGATTAAAGCACTCTGCAAGAATGGTGGAACCATGGATTCTGCTCTTCATATTTTTCATGAGATGCCTAATCGTGGGTGTCCTCCGGATTCTTATACTTATGGGACTTTGATTAATGGGTTTTGTAGATTTGGAAAGATTACTGAAGCAAAGGAGTTATTTGAAGAGATGAAAATGAGAGATGGTTCTCCTTCCGTTGTTACATATTCTTCCTTGATACATGGCTTATGTCAGTCAAAGAATCTAAATGAAGCAATAGGATTGCTTGAAGAGATGAAATGCAATGGTATTGAGCCAAATGTTTTCACTTACAGTTCTTTAATGGATGGTCTCTGCAAGGATGGGCGATCTTCAGAAGCCATGGAACTACTGGAGACAATGGTTAGCAAAAGTTGTAAACCCAACACAATAACTTATAGTATCTTAATTCATGGACTATGTAAGGAAGGAAAGCTTCAAGAAGCTGTGGACATTCTTGACAGGATGAAACTGCAAGGCCTGCAACCAGATGCAGGGTTGTATGGGAAGATCATAAGTGGCTTCTGTAATATTAACAAGTTTCAGGAGGCTGCAAACTTCCTTGATGAGATGATCTTAGGCAGGACCTCGGTGAACCGATTAACTTGGAGTCTTCATGTTAGGATTTATAATATGGTAGTCCAAGGCCTTTGTACCAAGTGTGATTTAAGCCGAGCTTTCCAATTGTATCTAAGCATGAGGACTAGGGGCATCTCTGTTGAGACTGGGACTTTTGAGACTCTTATGAAATCTTTCTGTAAGAAGGGAGACCTGCACAAAGCTGTTCATGTTGTTGATGAAATGGTGATTGATGGATGTATTCCAGAAGAGGGAGCATGGAGTACGCTTCTAGGTGCATTTTGGGATGAAAGAATGGTCCAAGAATCTATTGAATTGTTTCAGGTTGAGCTGATAAGTGAATTTGCTGAACCTGACATAGAAATTCAAGATGAAGCTTTTTGATTTGGCATGCAAGGATGGGTCTTATACTTCCATTATTCTAATTATATATGTATTGCTGATTTAGCCTTACCTTCTACTATAGCTTGATTACTTTGCACTTTAACATATATTTGTCTCCTCAATCACTTGAATTACTTATGCAATAAACCACTGCTTTTCTCATTTCCTACAATGGCAAAATTCAGCAACTCTTGTTTGCTGTTGGATTTTACTTAATCGTTCGTTTTCTTGCTTATTTAGTTACTTTTGAGTTTTTATGCAAATGACAATGTCTCTGAATTCTGAATCATATATTATGGTTTGTTACTTACTTTCCTTACTGGGAACTAATACAGGCATCATTCCCATAGAGTTCTAGTTTATTTAGCAACTGGATCTTCAAGTGCATGAAGAGGTTAAAGGTGACTAAGATTTTAGTGATATAACAATAAGTGGTCTCATCATCTGTACTTTAGAAGAGATCAGGAGTGAAGGATGATGGCTACATTGGGATTAGAAGAGTTTTACTGACTATGGAAACATATGGTTATTATATCTCATATCAAAAGGGGAAAATGTTAACTTACAGACAAGGGGAAGCCAATTCCATGACGTGTGGTAGGAAAGACAACAAACAACATACTGCAGAAAACGCCTATACCAACTGGCAGTGCTGTGAGGATTTCCTGAGCTTGAGCTGATGGAGTTGGGTAAAAGCAACTCACGACATTCTGATCAAATAGTGCCACAGCTGCAAATACTAGTATTGACATGAATGCATGCATGAAATCTATAAAACGCAGTTGGTATTTTGTGGCAAATTCTGGTGGAGGAGTGACTGAACCATCAATGACCCACAACCCATAAAATGTGGCAAAACCATAACAGACGTTGCCATTCTTGTCTCTGAAACTATCTGTGAAGCTCGTCAAGAAACATGATAATCCACAAAGCACTATGAGGACAGCTGTCATGGTCTGACAGACCGAGTCACAGTTGCCTTGGTTTGTGAATATGGGCGAGAGAAGTTGGAAAGCGAGAACGGTTCCTGTGGGTAATAGATTAGCCAAATGTGCTGTGCTTTGAAATGTTTGACTGATTGCCTTCTGTGCGAGGCTTTTCTTTTCTGTTTCAGATTCAGGCAAATCTTGCAGGAGGGGTACCTTTTGTTTTCCATGTTCATGAGATTCTTCACCTTGTACCTTAATCTCCATAACTGAAGTCTTCTCAATTCTCTTTTCCTGTTTACGTTGATCTCATTTGTTCGGAGCTTTGTGCTGAGCAACTATATTTATAAAGGTGGAAATGACATTTTTGAGTGGAGGTAAAGGGAGGGAAGAGAATGAAGTGATGCCTTGCAAGGAAAAAAAACCAAAATATAGAAATCAGCAATCTTGCACCATTTCAGAAAGGGAGTTTTGGTTCCATATGTGTTAGCTCAAAATTTTACTTGGATAAAGTTAAAGAAGAGTGCCTAATGTCTATGTTCATCATGACCGATACGAAACCAAGCTTGCAAGATATTGTACCCAGAAAAGAGAGATTGTGGGGTTACAATTAATAAAGCTTTAACGAGTAAGTTACCAGCCTACGAGAGTCTGGTGCTTACGGTAAATCAGCATATGTCACTTGTTTTGATGAGACGCGATACATGTGAATTTGGGGAATTTTCCCATTTATCAATTATTCTTTTTAATGCTTGTTTTAGAGGCTACTCTCTCTGCACTTTCAAGCCGCTCCGTCTTCTATTTGCGAAAAAGGAAATGAATACAGCCATTGCTTGCACGTTATAACTTCATAACAATGGGGAATTCGTGATGTGTCCATCTGGAGTGGACGCCAATCCTGCTTAGCGCAAGTGTAACTAATACATAATCTGATAATTAGCTGAAAATATTTCAGCATTGTTTCTGCTTAAACATAGGATTATCTATAATTAGTAAGTTTTGGTCGGATATATCTGCATGAAGTTTGCCAAGGGTACACCAGAACTTTTATAAGATGCCAGCTGACCAACCTTAATTCCCTGAAAATAAGAGCATTTCTAGTATGTTTTGTTATTTCTTTATATCAAGGGCCCAAATCCTTTTTTTTTCCTTCTTTTCCTTAATTCTTTTCCTTTCTTTCCCAAAACAAGGGCATTTTGAAACACATTTTTGTTGAATTGCAAGAAGCCTTTAAAACGAAAAGAAACTTCCCATTTATTGCAATTTTTCTCATGTGATTGGTATTCGAGAATTGGAGGCAGATCTAAGTCTTTTTTATTTTTTGGTTAAGCTTTAAGCAAAGCAACAAAGCTCTGAAGTAAGCAATTGCTTTAAAGGATATATAAATAGTTAGCCGATAAGCAAATATTTCATTCAATCTAATGGATTAACATGAAAGAGGGCCTGCTCGATCTACTTCCAGTTGAAGTCTAAAGATAAATGAAAAATAACTGAAGAAGGGATGGCCGATGGCCCATTTACAAGAAGCAACCCAGCAGGAATGAAACTACATGACTTTCCATCTCAGTGTTCACATGGGAAAGAGAACGATCGACACTAAGCAAATCTCATTTTAATTAAAAAAAATTACTACAACAAAAATCATATACAAGGGAGAGTTAGTTTATCAGTCAGATTAAACTTGTTTATAATGGGACTAAAAAGTATATAATTACAAAAACGCCTAGCAGGCTCATATGTAAATTTGTGTTTTTAAAATCATCCCTAGAGATATTGGGCCTAAGTAAAACTTGGGATATTGTGACAGTCTTATAAAATATAATGAAAAAGTTACTATCACGTATTTACCTTAGGCCATGCTTCACTTTACTTTTTTTTTTTTTAATTCTATAATTTAAGAATTTCGATAACTCAGCCCATGTTGCAACATGCACCCAAAAGCCCAACTAGTAGCTCGGCATTATGTGATCCAATATGTCCAAAGAGAAAGCCCAATTAAACAGAAATAGTCCGGTTCGGCCTTCTCTGTTTGAGACCAAAAAGTTTACATCGAGCCCAACATTGATGTCTTTCGGACCAGAGCAGACATAATCCTAGTTTTAAATTGAAAAGTGAAAACTTACATATCTATCTAGGATTTATTTCCCTCTATTTGACAAAAAGCATAGAAAAGATTATTGGTGTTGTCAAGCAAGCAAATGAACACTATATAATTTGATTAATTAGTAAGTAAACTGACCATATCTGTAGGCTAATAGGTCAAGTTTAGATGATGTGCTCAAGCTTGACTACAAATTTATTCTGTTTATCCAACTTGTAGAACTAGAAGCATTTCAACATCAAATTAGTAAATTAAAAAAGGTGACAAAGATTCCTAATATTTTATATTCTCACAATTTGTAATCGTATTACTATAAAATTCTTAAGGACTTTAGGATAGTGATAATTACATTAAGTTACATAAGAAAGAGATGCATGTTTGAATTTTCGAAAAAACATTGATTGAGAACGAAACATATTAAATTAATTAAGTAGACAAAGGCAAGAGGTTAACATTGTCGATGTAAAAGCTGTTGGATTGAGCTTGCTATAAGATATTATCTGTTTAAAATTTTCGAAACCTTGTTAGCAAGGTTTTGTTCTTTAAACTAAGGCATTTCAATACAGGGATGGTGGCTTTTATTTATAATTAAAGCCACAAATCACAGTCCAATTTTATAGTATTAGATGTGGGATTGTTTCTCTCTCAACACTAATCGTTTAAATCAAAATTATAAATTGTATATTTGCTGAAAAACGATATAATTTTCCACATATGACTCCATTTTTTATGCAACGGATCAACAATTGATCTGCTGCATCAACAAGGTTAATTTTATTTATCCACCCTCGATTGTTTCCAAGAATTTTATATTAGTTAAAATTGTTGCCGAATTAAGAGATGTTTTAGTCTTGGATGTTGCACAAGTAACCAAATTCTTTTTTTTTTTTTTCTGGGTTTTTGTACGCTGTCGTAAATAGCAAATTCTCGACTTCCGCAAACCATTAATTGTAGTCCACACCCCATGGTCAACAGTCCACATTCCCATGCAGCGAAATTTAAATTATCCTGCCATAAATGATTGCAAATATACGTGTTTGATAGAAACCCATTAAGCCATTTTTCTTGCGTGCTTTGGGTACCTTTCATCAAATTAATATTGATACTTACTACAAAATATAACTTATAACTATTTAGGGTTTGTCATCTCAATTATTATGGATATAGCACCGTACATTAAATAGATTAATAAGAAGATGAAGAACCCTAAAATGAATGTATATTAGATTCCATGGAATGGCCTTTCCCATGGCCATGAGTGATGATGAAGGCAGGATGCCAACTTGATCAGTTTCGTGGCATCAAAAGTCTTAAATTACACTTCTTTCCAGAGATGACACAAACAATTTGATAAAGAAAAGCAATTTGGAGTGGATATCTGCAATGTGGCTATCACAAATTGTTCAAAGATTCTTTATCTAAAAATATATATTTATCCATTTTCCCCAGTGTAATAAATTCTTTTTAGTAAGGGGATTCTTGAGAGATTAATTAGAATGCAGAATCTGGTCCAAAAGGCGTAGGTAGCTGTCTACAAGCTAGGGCTCGGTAATTGCCTACAATCTATTTTAATCAAGGAAATCAGGATTAAATTAATCTATCATAACTACCATTAAATCAAGAAAAAACCTGTTGTCATTTGGTGAGGGCCATTAGGCAATCATTCTAATGTTGAGTTCAGTTTAAATTTGAGTTTAAATTGTCCATTAAATTAGCAAAACTTCCATGCCCACCTCAACTATACTTTGCTTTTGATCATGTGGCTGTTTATTGCACCAACAAGTATTATCTAGAAATTAAAGAGGGGGAAAATTAGTAATCATGATTTCTAACATTGGTTGTTACTTCTAATTATGTTTTCAAGATGCACAAATAATAACACAATCAAAATGGACCCAAATTTATAACTTTGTTTCCTTGTAAGCTGTAGGGCGAAATTACATGAGAAGTTGTCAATGTCTAAGTTCTGTTGTTTTTGCTCTATAATGTTTGATTATTACTTCATTACTACCAAAAAATATAAAGAAATAAAAGACAAATTAGTAGTTAACTGATTTTGTCTAATTGTAACCCTCGAATCTCTCTTTCTTGCTCAACCAAGTTCTAACATCACAAAATATTTTCCTTCTCAATTACTCCAATCATGAGAGAGAGAGAGAGAGAGAGAGAGAGAGAGAGAGAGAGAGAGAGAAAGGAGAAAGTTTAAAAGCCTGTAGCTAATTTTTGATGATGAACTTTCTCAATTTGAAATGAGAATGAGCCACTCTTTTGCAAACAGCTCACGGTGGTAGCCCAGTGGCACAAACAAGCAAGGTGATATAAGAGTGTGACCCTTCACAATTATGTGTAGGAATTTCTTTTACAACAACCAGGCTCTAATAATTGAAGCTAGAACCTTTTCTTCATTGGGTTCCCCCCCTTCCTCTCCAGTTTCTGATACCAATTGATTAGCTACCTGAACTTTTCCCTCAAATTGAGGTGATCTGCTTGGGAAAGTCTCAATGATGATCTAGCCATGACCTCACTTTTACAAAGGCTGAAATACTAACTTATCAACAATAGAGTTGCTTTTCTTTGAGTACTATGATTTACTCTTTTAATCCTTTTTTATTTTTAAATTATCAACATCTAATAGCATTATTTTGAGTAATTAATTTATAGATTTAAAAAATGGGTCACATGCTAAAAATATAATGCTAGAAAATAATTTCTCCTATAAGAAAATCTTAGAATGATTGTATTGCACAATATTGCACATACCAATTGTATCAGTATTATCTTGTGTACAATCTTAAACCAATTATTCCTACTTTCCTAGCCAGCCTAGCTAGCTCTATTTCAACAGTATGGTTAAATTCTTGCTCACAGTTTCAAGCTGTTTTTTTAGGCTATCATATCCAGGCAATATACTCATATGTGAAAACTACAGAAAGTAGAAACAAAAAGAGGAAAAACACTGTATTAGTAATAATGGCCAGGAGTGCATGACTTGCATTTTCAAAGCCATCCTTCTTTGTTTCATGCTTGTAGTATAAACGGCCAAAACCCTGAGTTTGAGTCACCCAAATCTAGAACATGGCTTGTTTTTTGGCAGATATTCCCCATTGTATGATTCTTTCACAGGACATGGTTGCCGGTTAAGAAGGAGAAAAGAGGCAGTCACAAGCAACAAAATCCAACGAGAAAAAAGAAAAAACTAATAATTTCTATGCGTCAGTCACTGTCCATCTATAAACAAAAAGCTTTTGGCTCTTTTTGACTACTCTTGTTATAAATTCTATATCTTTTGCTTCAGAAAGAAGAAAAGAAGAACAAAAACAAGCATATATAGGCCAAATCAAAATCCCCCTCCAATTCTTTGCCACTAAACTTTTTTATTAACTATAAGCTTTCACAAGAACCAAAGAATAAGGCAAAATTGAATAAGTTCTGCTCAATTCGAATTAATTTTGATGTCCTCTTCAATTTGAACAATAATTTGGATTAAAATGTGTTATTTAATCAGAATTGGGAATAGATTTTGGATGATTAGTTGAGCTTGTTTATAAAATAATCAGCATAATTGCAGTGGTGATAATGCAAGTTCTTTTTACACACGACTCCATGTTCTTGGAATTTTCTTACAATTCAATGGAAT